TGGAAAAAAATTGTCTGGGAAGGAACACATGGTATCTGTAACTTAGGGAATTAATGAGTTTAGTATAGTCCCAACTGTAAGCATAGAGGAATAACAGCAGCACCTTTGAAAACAAACAGTAAATTGTGGCACAAGTTGTAAATTAGTCACATGTAATACATCATTAAGAAGATGATCAATTAAAATGCCTATTTAGTGAAAGAAATGCAGATATCTCTGTATATATCTTTATATTTGAAATACATATTTAGCTCTTTCCTTGAGTGTGTGTTAATGCTGGTATGCTGTAGTTCTGATTCACTTGGACATGAAGTTTCAATAATAGGATAACTTTCATCTAAACTTGCTCTGTATTTGCATTCTCTCAAGAGTTCTCCTCCAAAAGAAGCTGGTACAGCCACCATAATCAGCAACAAAATTAAGCTATATTTAAAGACAACATATTTTTCTAACTTACAAATTCAGAAGCTTCCTTCCCCTTCTCAGTCTTCATACATGGAGATTTCCATTTCTAGTTTGTGCTGTATTTTGGCATTCACATTATTTCAAGAGAACATTTTCAGATAAAGATGGCTAAATCAAACCAATACCAGAATAAAGGAAAAAAAAGAAAAAAAAAGAAAAAAAGTCTAGACCCTAAGCTCTTGTCAGTTTCCTAACTAGGCACAGGTTAACATAATAGCAATTTGTGTTCAGTTCTACTCCATCTGCTGAGTTTCTCTGTAGGGAACTTAACATCATTGTTCCTTCTGAAATAAATACTTTGTCATCCAGCTCCTGTATTCTACAGCTCTTTGCTCCGATGGTTATATGAGCAACAATGTCAGCTTCTGAGATAACAGCATCCTTTCACTACAGTATATAAACTACAGACTCTTAGAAAAAATAATGAAAAATCATACATTAGTAAAGTAGCCTGCATGATACAGCAGTCTGTAACTAAGACATTTTTAAAGTCAGTACTTCTTTCATGTGTATCTGTGATAAATCTATTTGTATCCCCTTTTTGTAGGTGAGTAGATTACACTGCATGTGTGGAAGGTGTGAAGTTAATTGCTTCTGATGTAAAACAGGTAGGTATTCTGTTTTGCAGGTGTCTTAAATTAGTTTTAAAGCACAGAAAGCATCCTGCTGATGTTGCTTTTTCTGAGTAAATAGAACATGAAGAAATTTGGTTCCCAGTAAAGAATGCATCATTAAATAGAAATAGTAGTCCCAAAATTATCTTGTATTCAGAAAAATCTAAAAGATGAGCACTATCTTAATATTTTTTTTTAAGGAGTGGTAGTGATTAGAGGAAAAAACCTATCTACTGATCAAAAAGAAAAGACAAACAAACAAACCAAAAAACAAACAACCCACACAAACCAAAAACCAATCAAAGAAAAACCTTGGTCTACAGACAGTGTAAAACAAATTTAATATAATCTCAAAGAAAATTTGCATGGAAAAAGTCCAATTTTCACCTAAAACATGCATAGACAATAACACAGTTATTAGAAAATGCAGGTGCTGTATCCAAATGTCTCATAGTATCTCTAAATGTTATCTATATTCAGAAAACCTGATATTAGGATCCTAGGAATTTTTATATCTTTTGCTATCACCACGGTACAGGATTTTATTATAGATTTAGGACTAGAGTTCTGAATCTGGGAATGAATGCTAAGGTGTATTTTCAGCTACCAAAGCTTCAATGACAGCAATTAATAGATGTAATAAAACTGGGAGCAGTGTAGCTGTGAAAATTTCTAAACAGTGTGTAAGGGCTCTGAAGGACACCTTGTTTCACAAGAGTTCCCTGCTCTGTACATTCCTTTCCCACCAATGCAGAGTGTGGGACTTAAAAGGTATTTTGCATATGTCACTTTACTGCAGCGTCCAAATGGAATATATTCTCTGTGTTTACAGTGGGTGTTGTCTTAAGAATTTTACTTGCTGGTTCTCTCTCAAATTTGTCTATATTCTGCTCATTATTGCCATTTAACTCCCCCTCTGCTTGGCTCTTCTGAGGCTCCATTTGGAGTACTGCTTCCAGGCCTAGAACACCCAGCACAAGAAAGACACTTGGAACTCTTGGAACAAGTCCAGAAGAGGACCACTAAGATGATTAGAGGGCTGAAGCACCACCCTTATGAAGAAAGATTGAGAGAACTGGGCATGTTTAGCTTGGAGAAGAGAAGGCTCCGGGGAGACCTCATTGTGGCCTTCCAGTACTTGAAGGGAGCATATAAACAGGAGAGGGAATGGCTGTTTACAAGGGTGGATGGTGACAGGACATGGGGGTATGGTTTTAAACTGAGACAGGGGAGGTTTAAGTTAGATATTAGGAGGAAGTTTTTCACTCAGAGGGTGGTGATGCACTGTAACAATTTGCCCAAGAGGATGTGGATACCCCATCCCTGAAGGCATTTGAGGCCAGGCTGAATGTGACTCTGGGCAGCCTGGTCTAGTGGTTGATGACCCTGCCTGTAGAAGGGGGGTTGAAACTAGGTGATCATTATAGTCCTTTTCAACCTAGGCCATTCTATGATGATCCAGCATAAGTTTCTACAAAATGCAGTCAATCTTTGCATGTGAGTATCATGCAACAATAAAAAACAGTAAACTGTTGGTCATCATCACCTGTCATAGAAATTACTAGAAAGGAGGGAAAAGAATCATGATGTAGCATATTTTCCACAGAAAACAAATAATGTGTATGCATGCATTTCATAAAAGACACTGTTGCAAAAATACAGTAAGTGAAGTTTAAAATGTTAGGGACTTCAAAACTGATGACTAAAAAATCTTAGTATAAAAAAAAAAAACAGGATATGTTTATTAGTACTTCTGCCAAAGCAACCATATGCTAGCACTAGCTAAAAAACTCTAGCTAAAAAATCAAAGTGATTTTCTATGTTGTCCTCAGACAGTGGTAGATCTACGCACTTCTATAGGTGAAACTAAATAGTACTGATAATGGGAAGCAGTAACTGCTAAATCCTCCGAAAATTTAGAGCTTGTGTGTTGTAACAGGAGCAGTGATAAGAGAGTGAATGGAAGTGGGAAGACCTGGATCTGAGAAGGCACTATCTCCTCGCACATCATAGAAGGCAATTTTCTGTATTTTTGCTGTAAGACAACCCAACAGCAAAATCTGCTATCTGCTTTAGTAACCACTAATTGGAGTTTAGGCCTCCATTTAGAGTATTTTTTCCTTGACTAGACTTTTCTGATCAATTTTTATCCATCTTTAATTTTTGCTATGGAGGAAAATAAACTGTTATGTGTAAATCTTCTAGAGGTAGTGAATGTGCCAGAATAATGTGGAGGTCAAGAGGACGTATTCTTGCCATAGCATTTGCTGTTGTTTGTCCAAGGGAGAATACACTGAAATCTATTTATTTTAAATAGATGTCTGAAGGTTGCATAATAGTCATTTACATTTCAGTCTTGCAACTCCTAGTCAAGGTAAAAGCTATAGTGCACAGCATACCTTGAAAAGAAATCCCCATAAAATCAAATCATGATTAGTATTTTACCGAACATCCATAGTTGGAAGGGACCTTTGAGATCATCTAGTTCTAACCCCATTACTATAGTCAGGGACACCTCCCACTAGACCAGGTTGCTCAAAGCCCCATCCAGCCTGGTCTTGAATCCTTCCACGGTGGGGGCATCCACAACCTCACTCAACAACCAGTTCCAGTGTCTCACCATCCTTACAGTAAGGAATTTCTTCCCAACATCTAGTCTAAATCTACCCTCACCCAGCTTAAAGCTATTTCCCTTGTCCTGTCACTTCCATGCCCTTATAAGAAGCTCCTCCTCAGCTTTCTTGAAGATCTCCTTTCTGGTGTTGGAAAGATGCTATTAGGTTTCCTCAGAGCCTTCTCTAGGCTGAAGATATGCAGCTCTCTCAGCCTTAACTCATAGGAAAGGTGCTCCAGCCCCCTGTTCATCTTTGTGGTCCTCATCTAGACCTGCTACAACAGCTTCATGTCCTTCTTGTGTTTGGGGCCCCAGAACTGGAAGCAGTACTCCAGGTGAAGTCTCAAGAGCAGAGAAAAGGGGCAGAATCACCTTCCTTGATCTGCTGTTGACACTTCTTTTGATGCAGCTTAGGATACAGTTTGCCTTCTGGATTACAAGTGAACCTTGACAGATCATGTTGAGTCTTTCATCAATTGACACCCCAAAAATCCTTCTCCTCAGGGCTACCCGCAAGCCATTCTCTGCTTTGACAACATAATCTGAGTGTACATGTCCCTGTTCATTGCAGGGATGTTGGACCAGATAACTTTTCAAGACTACTTCCAACTCAAATAATTATATGATTGTACAATTCTCTGCTCCCACAGTAACATGGATACCATGTTTGCAATCAATCTTCTGTTTTGTTGTTGTTGTTCTTGTTTTCTGGCTTAGGAATCTAGTGCACTAAATATCATGACTAAATAGGTTTTCAAGACCTCAGCCAAGTCTGGCTGGATCTCTCCCACTTCTATTTTTCATTGTGACTGCCAGGTGAGGGCTATCATTACTTTCAGCATCTATGAGGTAACAGGATGAAGAATTCTCCCTCATATCATAACTATGGGATTATGCAAATGCTATTAGTTGTGCAGCAGCATAGGCAGGAAAAATAAACGGCAAGATGTTTCACAGCAAATAATGAACACAAACTAGGAGTAAAAGGGGACACACTTCATCACATGCAATATCATGTCTGAGAGTACAGAATCTCTGAAACAGTATCTGCCATAAGTACCATTTCTATTCTTCTCATGTCTTCAGGAATTAAAAGTTAAAAGGACTCATTTGTGTAGGACAATAACTTACTAAACAAGCAAATAAAGCAAAAAATGAAACTAAAAAATGAAACTGCAATATGCATATTTCTACATACAGAGTGAGACATTTCCCTTCCCTTTTTCTCCTCAGCAGGAAATGCATATTGAGACAATTAAGTTATCAAGAGTTATGCAATTAGTTATCAAGAGTTTAAAGCTTCTTACCCACTGGAGACATTTCTGGTACGCTGGCAATGTAAGGCCCATCCAGAAACTTTGGCTCATTATCATTAATGTCCTGCACTTTGATGATGAACTCTGATTCAGGCTCTAGTGGCTTCTTGGTGTCAACATCCACAGCCTGTGCTCGGAGTGTGTAGAAAGGTTTTTCTTCTCGATCTAGGCTCCTTATGGCATGAATGTCTCCTGTGGTCTCATCAATAGTAAAAACAGTGCCAGCACCATCTCCTGAAAGGGTATATTTAACAGTGCCCACTCCCTTGTCCAAATCAGAATGAAGCTTGAGAACAAAAAGAAAAAAGGGAGGAAAGAAACATTAATTGCTTTTTCCAGGCTTGAAAGTAATTATTATTTTTTTCTTATGTAAAATAAAAAGTGTTACAGGAACCAATTTCCTATGTCTTTAAGTGCACACAAAAAATGCAAGTAGAATGTTAATATTTTTAGCTCTATCTGATATCTAGGACAGGCAGCATTTCAAACCTGTTTTCTGCCATGAATGCTGCTCAGTACTAAAACTGCAATGAAAAAGGTCTTCAGATTTATTAGAAACCAAAACTTAAGACCAATAATGGAAAAACAGCAATAACTGCATCAAACAAATTTGAGATTACATGAGAGGGTGTCAAAATCCTTCACAGGCATTTGGCTTTCACAGAAGTAGAAGAGAATCAGCTCATTTTCATTTCACACACAGCTTGTTGAAATGCTAAACAAACTCAAAGTCAAACCTGGTTTAAAAAGGACAATACACTGCTCTTCCATCATAATACATATGAAACAGAATTTAAAAATACTACTTCTTTTCCACAAATAGTAGATCGTTTATTTCTATTTTTTCTAAGATACAGAGAGAATAATTTGAAGTTAGGCTTTCTCTTCCCTTTTGGAAAAATACGTCAGTTCTAACTCAATCATTTTCATCTTCAGTACCAATTTGCACATTTTCCAGCCTATTTGAATGTCAAATCTCTATTTCTACTTTGAGAAAATACTTAAAAATCTCCAAGAATTTGTGTTTGCCCTTTTGATCATTGTCTACTATAACACTGTCTTTAACAGAAAATGTAGGCATTTTTGAAGTAGAAATATGGTCTGATGAACATCTTTCTCAGTGTCTTTATCTGATTCATGCTCATACTTTAAATACAACTAGAAGTTCTGAATATATACTCAAGGTTACATCGCAGATGCTGAAATAGCTTTTAAAATACTCACCTGCTTGTCCCACCTAATGAGGTCTAAAGAGATCTGCTATAATGGACACAAATTGGAATGGTGTTTTCAAGAGTGAATTCTCTTTAAGCAGATTATGGATATAGGCTTTATTTACATGATATACTGTCCAAGGTGAAACACAATAAAGGAAACATGGGACATGAAATGAGATTATGTAGAGAATGAATTGCTGAGAAACATAATGGTTTTGGTAATGGGGCAAGAAGCTAAGCCACAGAGAAAGAAGAAAAGGCAATTATTAACATTTATAGCTATTGCCTTGAAATTGAAAGTAGGTCCTTGTGACTGTGGAGGAGGTCATAGTTTGTGGGATAGAGTGAACATAAACATAGTCTCTTCTTCGTCTACCTTTTCATTTCATCATTCCTGCTCAGTGAACATACTGGATTCTGATCTTTCATCTAGTTACCCCCTGTATGGGATTTTAAATTACTTCTCCAGTCTGAAAGGAAGCATTTTGCTTCTTGAGCACTGGTTCACTGTGGAAAAATTCAAAGGAAGTTAATTCTTTTCTTCCTGGGGAGTTAAATATTCCTTGCTTGTAAAATGGAAAGATAATGGAGCCTGAGATAATTAATATCTATTTCTTCCTCATCATTTTAATTTAAGTGGCTTGCAAGCATCCTGCTGTTCCATTATACCTTGTTCACCTGAAACTTGCTATTTTTCTTCCGTTATCAGTTTTAGAGGCTTACAGACACAAATGGAGTGAAACAAAATAATAAATCAAAAAGATGCTGAGAAAGCTCACAGAAAAAAATGTAATTTTATAAAGGGAACCTCAGCATTTTCTTAGTTGTTTCATTGTATTAAACAAAGTATGTCTGGGCTTTATTACGATGTCCCCCTTGCTCCATACTCCTGGACAAAGGAATATCACAAGGAAAAAGAATATGATATCCAAGCAAGGATCTGTAAACAGGAAACCATGCAAAGAATATTGACTCTTCTCCTATATCCAGTTATCAGACCTGGAACTAAAGCTGAGACCGCTGAGTCTCTCTGATTGCCAGCTGAAGGGTTTACATTCAATTAGTAACAAATCCAGCTAGGTTTATAATATCGAGAAATAATTATACTTTTTTTTTTCCACCAATAGGGGAAAAAATAAAAAATATAACAAGAAGAAATCAAAACAATGGCTGCTAAAAGAATGAAAGTAGGATATAAGTACAAGCAAATCTCAAATTTACTGGACTTGGCAACTAGTAGCACGAGCAATTCTGTAGTTTAGTTGTGTTTACTGTGCCTCAGAAATATCACTCAGCTGGTATAATCTAAAAATCATTTCTTTGATTTAACCAGAATTGCATTACCTAGGATTTGTCACATTGTGTTTATTTCATCAAACCATGTCATAGGCTCCTCAAATGTTGTTGCTGGACAATGAGCATACTTATTTGTAACCCATATTGAGCTATCCAATTTGTGGGGCAATTAAACATTACAAAGCATCTAATTACTGTAGTTAAGAAGCTGACTGCTTTAATTTAAATTGAACTAAATTCTCCAGCAATAAAATGAGATGCAACACTGACATTCAGATGCAAAGACAGACAAAGAGGAACTAGCATTGGTTGGACTCAGTAGCACAGAATTTGAGTTGGAAGGGACATTTAAAGGTCATCTAGTCCAACTCTTCATCAATGAACAGGGACTTTCACAGCACTAGAAAGTAGTCTTGGCAATGAATACTTAAAATTTTCAAGAAAGGAGTTTAAGCTAAAGAATAAACATGCACTAATGTATCTTGATTTTATATGCTACATACTGTATTGCATTAGGAGAAAAGACACATTTTGTGCTGAAGAACATCTGGAACATTTGCAATACACTATTTTTTCTGACACTGTGTGCACCAGTAGTCTTCTTCTGGTATTCCAGTTTTCTTCCTGATTTGTACTTATTTTTTTAATTCCCGCTTTGCTATCTGGGAGCTATTGGGAACAGGTGAACGGTTGGACTGGATGATCTTTTAGGTCTTTTCCAACCTTGGTGATTCTATGATTCTATGACTGAACACAACTACAAGACAGGCAAGTCAGGAACATAACTACAAAAATCTTATTGAAACTCCCCTAACATGTTTACATTTCAGAATTACTTAAATTTATTAAGACTGTGGTACAAACAAGCGTATTCATATGAATTTTCTTCACTATTACATTTTCTCTGTAAATTCTGAATGCTGAAATTCCACAGAGGTTTGAAAATGCAAATGATTCATTTCAAATATATTCTGTTATCCTCTCTACTAAGTAACACAGAGACAATTTTAGGGTCAGATCATTGGACAAATCTACCATAAGTGTAAAATTAATCATTTCTTGCAGCAAACTCTGTTAGTGCAAAAAACTATGACTATTTTTCTGTAATGGCAGATAAAGGCACATTATCCCATAATTCTTTTTAATGTGTACAAACAATAACACATATGGCAAAGGAAAAGACTGAGAAAAAAAATCAAGTATGAATAATAAGATGGAGAGCATTGTGAAGTACATTGTTTAAATCTATGCAGAAACTATGACAGTGTTCTTGAATCACATCCAGTACCAGATGCCAGACTGAGTCAGTCTACTGGGCCACGTGATCTAACAGTCTGCTTCAGCCTGCAAGTAGCTGACAGCTAGTTTGCTTCAGAGAAAATGAAAACGTTGATAATACAACTCACCACAAGCATATCAAGAAGAAACTATATATTAGTTCTACAGGCAGTTATGTCTAATTGCTAGCAAGCAGTATGATTATTGCAATAAATGTTATGGCAGGCCATAACATTTCCTGTCCTTCCTTACCACCACTTTGAAAAACAAAGCCAACTTATTTTGAGAGAAAAAAAAGAAAGAAAAACAACTGTGATACTCAATTCATAGGTCCATTAACATCTGTATGTCTGCCTAAGACTTCCTTCTGAGATGTAAGGTTTTAAATTCTCCAGACCTACTTTTTCCCCGCTTCCACAGAAAGATTGTATATTTCTAATGGCAGACATTAACTTTGTTAGTATTCTGTGGCAGAGATTAACTTTGAAGTAGCAATGTTTCAGAAAATCGAATGATGCGTAAGGACATACTTTTTATAAGAAGGACCTTCAGAGCATGAAGATGGCTTCTGGTGGTCTCCATGAACTTTTATTCATTACTAATGGTGAACTAAGCACATCCTGACAGCTCAGTAAGACAAACAGGTTTTTTTTTCTTTTTTTTTTTCTAAAAGCAGATTTTATCAGCTTACAGCTTTAACAATTCAGTGTTATTAACTCAGTGTTTACTGAATTTACACAGATGCACAAATAATTTTATATGACTTCTGTAAACACTGGTAAGATCAGCAAATGCATTAATTTAGCATACTTTAAGTACTACTGTATACTCTTTGCAGAACTGAACATGGTAGTAGCACGTATTAGAAACGTGCATTCCTTGGTAGTAAGTTCTGCAGCATACTATGCAACTGATTCTCAACCGTACATCTTAAACACTTCAATCACTTGCATTAATGAACTTTGAATGTTTTGGAAAGTCGAAGTACTTAATGAATTCATGGATATTGGTAAAGAAAGCAAAAGCAAAATAACAACCTACAGAACAAACAAACAATGCAAGAACAAGAGACGGAAATAAAAAAAAGAAAATAAAACACTTTTTAAAAAAAGTCGAGGAATATTGAACTGAGTTTTATTCTGTTACCAGTATCATGGGCTAAAAAAAATCATGAAATAGTAGCTTGAACCGAGGAAAAGAAAAAAATCATGATTTGTGTAAGGAAAAGGCAGATGCAAAGCTACTATGGCAATTCTGATCTGTAATGTCTTTGTGGTGGAACAGAGAAGACCACTACAGAAGAAAAGGATGTAAATGACAAACCTTTCATACTAGCCACCTAGAAAGACTGTATTTGGAACACTTCCCTTTTTAAAGAGAGTTGTTTGTGAAGATATGTATCACACATCTTATATTGGCAAGTACTGTATGATCTACATAGATTGCAGAGTTTCATTTAAAACTTGATCATTAGACTGTCATTTGTGGCTTTTAT